AAACATCATAGATTTTGTATTAGACATACAAATTTTAGATATAATGTTTACTCTGAGTAAATATGTTATCTTTTGTGCAAAATATATGACATTTATATTCAAAATATTCCTGGTCTTACAAGGAATGTTTGAGGTATTATTTATTAAAATTTAGCGGTTTTCCCCCAAAAATTTCTCAGAGAGGGAAGAGCCAGCAGTGTTGTGTGAGAAGAGGGGGAGGGAGTTGAGTCCATTATTTGAATGGACATTAACTTGGCGACTGTATTTCTCTATTTCTCTTAAGTATTAATTGTGTGCATGTACCATCATAAAATTAAGATGTTATTTTTACTAGAACATAGGTATCGTGTCGGAAAAAGTGGAGTTTGGGGATGGGCCAGTTTCTATTGGAATTAATCCCATATGTTCTGTTGTTCACTTAGCGCGGTTTTCACTTAACACGGTACCCTGTGGGTTTTATTGACCGCGTTAAGCGGGGTACTACTGTACAGTATGGTATTTTAAAGATTCTGCAGAATAGGTATTTGATATTGTTAGTAATTTTCAGAATGCCATTCAATACTGAACAATATTAAAAGTTTATACACATCACACTTGTTCCAGTGTTTACAAGTAAAAAGTTAGAGCAATGGTATTTTTAAATCTAAAATTCATCGTCATCTTTTAATGGCCATTTTCCATGTTTGCATGGTTTAGCCATGGTTATCTGATGGCAGCTCTCCTTGCTGCACATTCTCTTGCAGTCTCATTTGTCAGGTTCCTAACTCTAATGTTTATAAGTAGTAAAGTTTGTAAATACCATACCATAAATTTTCATTTTTATCAATGTATCTAATTACAGTACAAAAGGTTGGTTGGTATTTGTACAGTATCATCTCACGATAGATGCTGTGAACACAACCTTTAGTTAATGTATCAGTGAGCCTTGCATTCATTTCTCCCATCCACCTTCATACACACACATATCTTTTCAATTGTGTAAAGTCTCTTGTCATTTCCTTGGCATACTGCTCTGCTTTGCAATGCATGGTGCTTTAAAACAAATATGAGGCTTTTATTTATCCTTCAGATACAGGTACAGTATTTAGTTTTTAATATATATGGTAACTACAATTCCCATTACTGGACTTTGTTAAACTCTGAAAAGCAATTTTCTATGGTAGATGACGTTCTTGACTTACTGACTTACACGGAATATTTTTCTCCCGTGCCAGCTTGCTTTCGTACTGTGTCAGTGACTAGCCCTCAATAAACCCAGCTTTGATCAGTTTACGGGGTAGATCATCATTGTTACAGTGTGTTCAAAATTACTTTTTAGTGTCATTGGCATACTTTAAAGTGCAAATCTCTGACCTGTTGGTTTAAGCTGTGAAAATATTTAGATTACAGTACAGTATTATACATGATACTTGTACCCATTTGATGTCTTCACATTTGTCTAAATTTTGCATGACCTAAATAAATTGGTGTGTTGCCAACTGTAAAAAAAGTAATGTGATGAGAAATTCCAGCAAGCATATTCAGTTGACTATTACAGTGCTTTATAAATTTTCATCCTCACTGCTTATTCCTTTGTGATCTGGTTGTTAAGGGGCATGGATTGTATCCTTGTATTATGTGTGAGAATTTATTGCACACAAAATTTCCCATATGATGCAGTACTTACATACTCAGTCTTTTGTACGAGATACCCGGTAATCTTTTAACATGCTTCAGCTTCATGTTAAGTTGTCTTTGTTTTTCAGTAGTCTGTGTAAGGAGTCACAATTGTCTGTGATAAATATTGCATGCAAAAATAGTGCAATTATGGTTGGCACTGAAGGTCTTCAGCTTTTTATTGACATGCTGATTACAGTATAGAGATTATCTATTTATGTTTTATGTACACTCGCAACAAAAAGTATCGGTGCATACTGTAGTGTGAACAATTTGAGACCAGTGACGATAGGTATTGGGAAAGGCGAGTTGTTCCAGCCGTATGTTGGCAGCCCTGTTCAAGTTAAACAAACTGTTATAAATAAAGTCAGGAAGTGATAAATAGACAGTATGAAATATGAGTAGCTCCCTGTTAAAATTATTTGTGATACTTGTGAATATTGCCACATCAATTTATGCTACCAAATAAACCACTCAACCTGGACGGCCGCTCTGAGACCTGTCGTCTGTAGCACCAGTTTGGAGGTATCGCCAAATCCATCATGCAGCGGTGTTCTTGTGGACACCAACCTGCTGGCTAATCTGTGACGCCAAACCCTTCGTTATGAAGGGCAATAATAGCTCCTAGTGTTCCCTCTGAGGTTTCCATGTCGTCTGGCATGTGTAGATCTCTACTGCTTCATATTGCCTCTGTTTTATACCCACGTTCACCGAGACCGAACCCTCGCTCATCATTCAGTCGACACAAAGCAACAATCCGAAAAGAGGAAACAAACACTGATTGTCAGCCATATGGCAACACCTAGTGGGGAGAGGGGGTTATGAGGATACACTTACCAACCTTCCCGACATATCACAGTGTATACGTATCCTTTCGGAAGTCGTCGATCACACCTTGCACCGATACTTTTTGGTGTGAGTGTACATAGTAAATGGATAGATGGTATTTTAATAATTTTAAGGAACTTAAGTCATACTTCTACATCATTTATATGCAGCAATGTTACACATTAATGTGTCTTCCTTTATTAAAAACTGCATTATTAATCATAAAACTTTTTCATGCTCAGTTTTCTATGAAGGATCCAGTATTTATTGTAAGTTATGTGTGTGTCTTTTTCCCCAATCTTGTAAATATGTACAATAGTACACTATCAGACAAGATTTTATCTCTAATCTTGTACTGTACTGCTGTATTACCAAAGAAGTTATGTCTCTCTCCTTCCAATTTTGTGAACTTTGGGCTGAATACTCAAAAAGATTTACGATACTGTATCTCCCAGCTGACTGTGTATCAACCCTTGGGGTTGTAAGTCCCCTTTGTAGTGATACTCAAAACAAAATATCCTGCATCTTACGATATCGCCGAATGTGTAACTTACGAGATGTTTTGAGTATTCGCCCCCTGTAGTATCAGACAAGTTGTAAGTCTCTCTATTCTTATTCATGTAAGTCTGTACTGTACTTTGAAATATCAAATTTCTGAATTTTCTGTGTCTAATATCACAGATGTTCTTTCACCATTGAAGTACTTGTTTCTGCATTAAACAGAAGCAGTTGATCGTGGGCTGCAGTTACTATTAGTGCTGAGGCTATTATCCAATTGTTAATCAATTTTATAAGGCTATATGTAGCTCTGATAATTGCTCTAATTTTAGAAACAAATGAGAGTTTTTCCATTGTGCAGTAAGTTGATCTTAATATTGTGTACTGGAGTACTTCATATTTGTTGATGTTAGTATTTTTTTAAACTTTCTCTTCCTGTGTTTAATCAAGCTGTGTGCTGTTCAGTCAAGATTACCAAGTGAAATCTTCTTAAATCAGTACGGGTATCCCTCAATATACGAATGGGTTAGGTTCTCAAAAAAACAAAACTCTCATTAAGTAAATTCTGTATAGCAAATAGAACATATGGGAAAAATACGGTTTGGTTCCTCAATGACAAAAATACCCCAAAAAACATGAAATCGGTTCACAAACAACAGCAAAAACCTACCTAACTGATGGTAATTTACTATTTAACACATGAACAACATAAATAAAATATTGTGTAACTTTGGTGAGGAGGGGTGGGCTGAGTAAGGGTTTTAATCAGCGAGATTGGGAAGGTTGTCCAGAATGACAGTCTTCTCCTTGATGATGAGGCTGGATAGGGGGGCACCACATGAATTCTTGTCTTCTTTCCACAGGTGGAGAAGACGCTTCAAGTTGTCCATCACAGAGTCACGACTGCGTGTTAGGCTGCTTACTCTTATACACATAACGTTTTCAACTTCTTGCTTGATCTTGCCAGCATGCTTATAAATTGTAGCGACAGTAGAAGCAGCCAGACCAAGAGCTTTCCCAATCATTGTAGGGTCATCACCACATTTGTGATGCTTTATTACCTTCAGCCTTTCGTATTTTTTTCAATGCACACAACAAACAGCAAAAGGAAAAATATGGGCTTGTTGGAGATGCAGGAGGGAGCGGGGTATGATCAGTGAGCGAGAATACATCTCTGCTGATCTCTCCTCAAGATGGCCGCCTCAGTTGACTCCGGAGGGTACAATCTGAATCTACTGAAACTCAAAGTCGTATAAGCATGGGAAGTTTATAAGTGAATAATAATTTTTTGAATGTTCATATAGCAAGGGATACCTGTAATCCAAGTTGAAAATTGGGTAGGTAAAAAATCCAAGTTGCCAAATTGAAATATAAATTTAAGGTTTTGAGAATTTTTCTACAACTTCCGATATGAGTGAAGACAATGTGTTCCTACACACCAGCAATATCAATGAAATAATTCAGCAATAAAAGGTAAGTATTGTACTGTATAGTAAGTATTTTAATATTTGACTTTAATGTTGTAGTAGCAATAGAAAAAGGTGTACGAGTTGTTACTTGAGAAACAGTCTTTAAACTATGAATAAAACACCCCAGTAGCAAGTGATTATTATATATTAGGCTGTTTGCTCTCTCATTTAAAAAAGTAAGATTATGATATACTTACTGTATATTGCTCACTTTTAGTAGTGTAATTAGTACAGTACAGGGGTTACTGTATCTATTTTTAGTACAGTATGTACATCTATTTCAGACATTACTGTCATCTACATTATTTCATATTGTATTATGTAAACATTATGAGAGTAAATTAAGTCTAGAATAGGAGTAACAAACTCATCATCACCCCCCCCCCCCTTTTTTTAATCAATGTATTTGGGACAGTTTATTGAACGGACTCTCCTTCCTCCCATAAATTCAGTTTGTTTATACCCCTCCCCTTTTTTAATCAATTTATATAGGACAGTTTATTGAATGGACTCTCCTGCCTGCCATAAATTCTGTTTGTTTCTCCCCCCCTCACTGCAAGAAGCTCCACTGATGTGGCAGAATAGAACGACAAAGTGTACCCATGGGGTGGTGGTGTCACAGCCAATGTGTCTGGGACCCTTGTGACTCCAATAGCCAATCAGTGCACTGACTGCTGCCAGTCTCTCACAAGAACTTATGCCCTTGCCTTTGGGCAGCAGATTTTTTCTGTTATTTTGTGGATTTTTCTCTTCATTGGATGAGGGTTTCATTCCAAGTATGAGTTCTATGGATAGTGAAGTTCCAGGTGGTAATACTCTCTCTGTGTCACAAGAACAGTACTTCGAGGATGTCATCAGCCTTCAGGAAAATGGCGGCAAAACAGCAGATGTGGATGAGGAGGAGGCTCCTGAGAACGGTGTGCTCGACTACTTGAGCCACCTTCAATCCCAAATCAGACAAGCACTGAAGTCTCTCCCATGCCTGTAAGTACTCTATTGGCTGTTATAACTCAGTATTATTACACTAACATGGTCTAGCCCAGGAGTTCTCAATTAGGGGTAAATTTCCCATGCTGGGGTAATTTGACATGTTGGGGGTAACAATTGAATACCGTACAGGGTATATGATTAAAAAAAATTGAAGCCATTCTAAACTGTCTGCCAAGATGGTGCACTATCAGTGGCAGACCTTGGGGGGTGGGGTGTTGAACCTTCCTTTTAATATAAGTCTCACTGGTCTAAATTACGTCAGGTAAAATATCAACTCTTACACATTCTTGGCGAGTGGTATAACATTTAAATGGGCAGCTTGTTATCTGTTTACCAGGAATAGTGACCTGTGGCAGGTGCAGGTAGTTTATCTCTACATTAGCACCTGCCTCTGATCTGTTGGGGTCTAGTCGTTAACATTTCAAAGGAACCGCTAAGTGAGAGGCTGTAGATGTAAAGTGATAGGAATTATGACCTCACATGACAGTGGTTACTGCCAGATTATGGGAAGGGGAGGGGTGGAAGTTAGGGCAGGTGATGATCAGGCTCTGATGGAGACTCACCACACAAAGGAATTAGTCATCAGCAAATTGTGGAAAATTTTGACATCGAGGTTTATTTAAGGGTTATTGTGCAAGATTTTTATCTTGTCTATTTATTTGGCCCATCTGCATTTTTCTTAGATTCAACTTCGAAGTCAAGATAGTCTTACTATGGACCCTTATGTACAGGGCCCCCCCTCTTAGCTGAATAAAATTGTCTGATGTTTACCAAACAAAATATTAAAAGCAGCATCCTCATAGTAAAGGGGTTAGTAGAGATAGTTTACTAATTAGAAGATAAATTGTTGAAAAAAAATTTTTAATTCTTTTTTTTTAGGTTAATATCAATGAAAAATGCACAAATTTATTTATCAATGCTTTAAGATTGAGTAAGTCCAGTGAAGTCATTGGGACAACAGGTTGTCTCATCAGGTAAAGTTTCTTGACCAAGAGTCAAGTGTGAAGTTACACTGTGTTTTACTCTATGAGGTCACCTGTAGCTATACAGTATATATAAGGAGCACAGAACCGAAGTAGGATAAGTGCCGTAAATTAAAAACAAGAGAAAATGCAGTTAAAGTTTGCAAACCTCAAATTACCATAACTGGGACCAGTGAAGATATTGAAGTGATTCAAGTGACAGATTGTAGCATTGTTAGTGCAGATTTAATTGATACTACTGAAAGACATCATGTGTATTGTTTTCGGGCATATCAGCATTTGCCTTGCTTCGGTTCTGTGCTCCTTATATATAACCTTGTTCTTCTGTAACTTCTCTCAGTATCCCCAGAGTTGCCAAAGCATGTCGAAACATTTTCGTAAGAATTTCGTTAACCGAATGTTTGTTTGTTAACCGAAATGAAGATTCTTATGGAAGGTAATTCGTTAACCGAAATTTCGTTAACAGAGGCGTTCGTTAACCGAGGGACCACTGTGTGTGTGTGTGTGTGTGTGTGTGTGTGTGTGTGTGTGTGTGTGTGTGTGTGTGTGTGTGTGTGTATATATATATATATATATATATATATATATATATATATATATATATATATATATATATATATATATATATATATATATATATATATATATATATATATATATATATATATATATATATATATATATATATATCTTGATAAAATCACGGAAAATGGAAACAATTACCTTAGCTTTAAATCTTTATTCAAGACATCTTCAGAGGCAACTGGACTACATGGACAGAGAGAGGCTTAAATATACAGGGTGACCTAAAAACATGAGGTCAGGTCATAATGATGTCATCCACCAATCCCCACACCAACAACGCGTTTTATCATATACGCGGTGCCTCGCCAGAGCTGAACTTTCACTTAACGCGGAATTTTTCATCATATACGCGGGAAGCGGCGCGGGCACGATGCGCACAAGGTCGCCCAGTCATCAAAACATTACCGAGTTCTTCACCCGCCACCCACCACAGCCGGCCCAAGTCAGTGATAGTGATAATTATAGTGAGGATATGGACTTATATGGCCTTTGAGGGGTTTGACAAAGAGGCCCTGCAAGCCTCTGTGGTGGATAGTGATACAATTGATACAAGTGATACAGGTGAGGGCCAATAATCTGCCCTCTGCCTCGGAACCAACCCCCCATCCCCGTGTGCCCAGCCATCTTTTCTACTAATGCAAGTGTTAAAAAACCTAATATTATTGATATTTCTCTTAATTATTAATTGTGTGTGCATACCATCATAAAGTTAAGATAAAATTTTTACTACAACATAGTTGTGTGTCGTCAAAAAGTGGAGTTTGGGGATCGGGCCAGTCTCTATTAGAATTAATCCCATATGTTCTGTTGTTCACTTAACGCGGTTTTCACTTAACGCGGTACCCTGTGGGTTCAATTGACCGCGTTAAGCGGGGTACTACTGTGTATATATATATATAAATATATATATATATATATATATATATATATATATATATATATATATATATATATATATATATATATATATATATATATATATATATATATATATATATATATATATATATATATATATATATATATATATATATATATATATATATATATATATATATATATATATATACCCTCGGTTAACGAACTCAATCCGTTCAGAGGTGGATTAGTTAACGAGTTAGATTAACTTGAAACCATTGTTTCAATGGGTTTTTGGAGCTAGTGGTTCCAGCTCACCGAAAATTTCCTAAATTCAACAAAAATGGTAGAAAAGTTCACTTACTTTGAGGTGTGTATGTAGAAGGCTCCTGGATGATGATGATGATGATGATGATGGGAATTAGAATGGTGGTGGAGGAGAAGGGAGAAGAGAAGGCATTGGGGTGGAAGAGAAGTCACCCCATGGTGCCATTTCACCCATAAAATTTTAGCTCTCTTGGTGTAATTCAAGATTATTTTCTTTAAATCAACACTGCACTGCATTATATATTGTCAATATGTAAAATAAATTTCAATATGACCAATAATTTGCTTGGAAACACAGAAAAAAAGCGTTTAGTTGAAGAGAGTCTCAAGCAAGATGTTACCTCCAGTGAAAACAGAGAGAGACTAACGCCTGTTTGCTGTGTTAAGAGGCTGGATGCCGCGCATTAAACTAGTCACTTTACCTTCAATTATGTTCAATAATTGTTAAAATGACTAAAAAATTTAATATTAAACTTTTAAAATTATTGAAAAGTATAAACTTCTTGATATTTACTAAAATAGTAAGGAATTTAAGCCCTAGAACCGATTAATGTATTGGCGGACTGATACTAAAGCTGGTTGCCCAGTCAGTGTAAGCGAAAACATGTTGAGGTCGGTTTGTAAGAAATTCGTTAACCGAATTTTTGTTCGGTAACCGAATTGAAGATCCTTATGGAAGGCAGTTCGTTAACTGTATATGTATATATATATATATATATATATATATATATATATATATATATATATATATATATATATATATATATATACAGTTGTACCCCACTTAACGTGGTCAATTGAACCCAGAGGGTCCCGCGTTAAGTGAACAACAGAACATATGGGATTAATTCCAATAGAACCCAGCCCGACCCCCAAACTCCACTTTTTGACGACACATAACTATGTTGTAGTAAAAATTCTATCTTAACTTTATGATGGTATGAAAAAACAAGTAATATAGAAGAGGTTAGGTTAGGAAAGATAAAGGTTAACATAGGAAAAATAAAGAATAGGTTAAAAAACGAAAAATTTTGTGGAACACTTACGGTAGTAGAAGAGATGGGTCAGCATACGGGGATGGAGGCTGGTTCCGAGGCAGAGGGCAGATTACTGGCCCTCAGGTGAATCACCATTACTAGGTGAATCAACATCACTGTCACTTCCAGTTGTCAGGGCTTCCCTGACAAATCCCTCAAAGTCAACTTCACTTTCACTATCACTGGCTTGGGCTGGCTGTGGTGGGTTGCGGGCGAAGAACTCGGTTATGCTTTGCTGACGGCTGGTGTTGATGTTGTCGTGATACACCTTGATGTACGGCTCCATAGCCTGCACCAGTCGGGTATGGAAGACTTCATAGCGTTCATCGTCATTGTCGCGGGAAAGGACGGACTTAATTTTTTCTGTAAACTCTATGACACACTTAATATCACTATGACTTAAACTAGGTTCTTCGGAGAATGACGCACCTTCTTCCTCCTCTTCACTGGCGTGTTCTTCTTCCAACATCTCGTCGGCAGTCACTTCAGGATCTTTGATCACCTCCAGGATGTCTTCGTTGGTGTTCTCGGAGAAGCCTTCAGCTGTAATATTGAGCGCAGCTTCTCTGGCAAGGTCCACTGCTACTGCAACAGTCTGAACCTCACCAGTCACAGGTTCACTCCTCCTCTCACCTGGTATGCCATGCAACACATGTCTCCATGCGTGACGAATCGTAGCAATAGTCAGCAGATCCCATGCCTCCACCAAGAAGTCTACAGCTTGTTTAACGTTAAACTTCTTCCAAAATTGTTTGACGAGAAGTTCTTGAGTCGCCGCCTCTTGTTCCTTGTCCTCGTCGCTTTTGCTCTCGCTGTCGGTGTCACCCAGCTTACGCAACTCATCCTTGGTGTTGGTAGAGTCGTTTAGGAGCTTGAACTTCTTTGCAGAGTACGCAGCTTTCACATTGCAGATCAACTCCTGGTCCATGGGCTGGATTAATGACGTAGTGTTGGGAGGAAGGAAGACCACTTTTACGTTGGGGTGACGATCCATAAGTAGGGGCGAGTGTCCAGGTGCGTTGTCAAGGAGCAACAAAATATTGAATGGAACATTCTGTTGCTCGCAGAATTTCTGCACGTCAGGAACAAAACAGTTGTCAAACCAGAAGAGGGACAGAGAAAAGGACATCCACGCCTTACGTGCGGTTAGCCAGTGGACATTAAGCTTGTTCATGTCCATATTCTTGTAGGCGTGCGGCTTGCGGGCTTTGTGAATCACCGATAACTTTGGTTTACAGGTACCGGAGGCATTGGTGGTAAACAGGACGGTGATGCGTTCCTTCTGCATCTTCCGGCCCCTTACCTTGCTCGCAGACTGGACAACGAAGGTCTTGGAAGGTAACTTTTTCCAGAAAAGACCAGATTCGTCCATGTTAAACACCTGGTCGTCACTGTACTGTCCTTCCTCCATAATCTCACGTAAAAACGGAGGAAAATCTCTAGCAGCCACACGGTCAGCACTCGCTTCCTCACCACCAATGTTGATGTTGGTGATCTTGTTCCTCTTCTTAAACCTATGCAGCCAACCAGAGGAAGCATTGAAGGGTTTGGGCTCTGCAATTCCCAGTTTACGTGTCACTGCTGCGTATAGCTCACGTGCGTACTCATGCACTGAGCGCGTGTCCACCGCCATGTTGCGTCGCGCCTGACGCACCAAATAACTCACCAGCAAATTTTCCACTTTTGCCAGCACCCTGTTCTGGCAATACCTGATAGATGAAGCACCTGCAGACTTTGTGATTTTCATGTGCTCTTTGATCTTGGCTGCATCCTTCTTGATCGTACGAATCGTAGATTCGTTGACGCCATGCTGGCGCGCGAGATCAACTTGCCGTCTTCCTTTCTCCAAATCTTGAACAATTTGGTACTTCACCTCGTAGCTTAATGAACGTCGTGTCTTCTTTGGCTTAGTGCCGCTGGGTCCAGGTAAGGAAAGGTCTCTCTCTGGGGGCGGTGGTGGTCCGGCGGAAGCCATTTTACGGAACAATGGATGCTCGTTAACCCGGGGTGGCCTTGAGGGATGAAACTGCCGCGGCTAGGTCAAGCGTCGTCTCTCCTCCCTCCCTCCCTCCCCGGGGTGGTCACGTCATAATACTTTAAGCCAATTACAGCTAGCAGCAGAGGGGGGTAGGGATGCATGGCCAATCACAGTCCGATACGTCATATGACGTCAGTGATAACGCAACAAAGACACACACTGCGCAACCTTACCGCGCGGCTTGCCCAAGCGGAGGGAGGAGGAGGGAGAGGCAGGCAGGCGGGCGGGCGGGTGGCGCGTGGCGCGTGGGCAAAATCTAAAAATAGCATCTCGAGCCGGACACTCACCGCGTATATGTGGAAAAAATCTGTGTTAAGTGAAAGTTCAGCTCTGGCAAGGCACCGCGTATATGCGAAAACGCGCTAAGTGAAACTGCGTTAGGCGGGGTAATACTGTGTATATATATATATATACAGGTAGTTCTGCTATAACGCGATAATTGTGTTCTTGTAAAATATCGTGTTATAGAAAATCGCGTAATAGAAATAACAGGGCTTATGAAGAAAATAGGGTTAGGTGCAGTTTACTCGAAATCGAAAAAATTTAGTAGTTAGCCTAACACAAAGGATAGCACAGTCTAAATAAATGTTACATTCATATCTAATAATGAAATCATACAGTAAATTTAACACTTTACCTTGAAAAAATATGAATGTAACTTGATGTGGGAGAAGGGTGATTTTGAGGTTGATAACATCAAGCTTCTCTTCAAGTGTTATATCCTTTCTTTTACGATAATCACCGGGAATTCTATCATCAGAATGCTTTTTGGAGATATTCTTCTTTACCATATTCACAGTTAATACCACAAAATTGGAGAAATATTAAGCAAAAATCGCGTTATAGCAAACAAGCGATCGCGTTATACAAATATTGTTCCGAATTCATAAATCGCGTTAGAGCAAATTCGCGTTATAGCAGAACTCACTGTATATATATATATATATATATATATATATATATATATATATATATATATATATATATATATATATATATATATATATATATATATATATATATATATATATATATATATATATATATATATATATATATATATATATATATATATATATATATATATATATATATATATATATATATATATATATATATATATATATATATATATATATATATATAGTGGGGTATGCTATAACGAATCTAATTGGTTCTAGAACCTTGTTCGTTATAGCATTCGTTTGTTATAGGATTAATCCGTTCCAGGCCCCCAAATACAACCACTTAACACTGAAAAATATAATATAAAATTGTAAAAATTGTAAAAAGTGCATAAATATGCATCTAAACCCCTGAAATAAAGAATATCATTAATATTTGTAATAATAAAACAATAAATTAGAAAAAAAAAAAATTAAATTATGTTCGTTGTAGGAGTTTCGTTCGTTATAGCATTCTCAATTTTATAGGTAAAACCGTTTGTTATAGGAATATTCGTAGTAGGATCCGTTCGTTATAGCATACCCCACTGTATATATATATATATATATATATATATATATATATATATATATATATATATATATATATATATATATATATATATATATATATATATATATATATAATATAATATAATATAATATAATATAATAATATAATATATATATATATATATATATATATATATATATATATATATATATATATATATATATATATATATATATATATATATATATATATATATATATATATATATATATATATATATATATATATACACAGCTCTCCCCCGACTTGCGTCCTACTCGACCTACGACCACCTGCACTTACGACCTGCCTCAGTCCGTAACGACCATCCGCACATACGACCACCGCAGTCGGTACCAACATTTTTTTCAAATGACGTGCGCATTTTCTATACCGAAACGTTTCCGTCCCGTACGAGAGCGTGGCGTGGCTTGGGTTGCCGCGTGGCTACAGCACCCACGCCGTAGAGCGCTTAGTTGGTGTTTGGCTGTCGTTGTGTCCGCAACTGATCGTGCTGTGTACTGACATTATTTTCGTATTTAATTTACTTCAGAATGACTGGAAAGCGTACAAGTGAGAGTGCTGGTGGTGCTCAGAAGAAAAGGAGACAGTCAATTACTTTTGAGACGAAAATGAAGATAATAATGCAGTATAAAAATGGAAAACTATAGCAACAATTTCACCTGATCGAGGCTTCTCATACTCGACCATATCTACTATTTTGAAGGACAAGGAACGTATTCGTGAGGTAGTGAAAGGATCAGCACCTATAAAGGGAACTATAATAACGAAGAAAAGACAAGGTCCCATTCATGAGATGGAAAAATTACTTGTGATATGGATGGAAGACCAGATACAAAAGCATGTACCCTTAAGCCTTCTAACCCTACAGGCAAAGGCAAGAAGCCTTTTTGAAAGCCTGAAGGAGCAGGCAGGAGATGAGTGTGAGCAAACCTTTACAGCAAGTCATGGGTGGTTTAACAGATTTAAGAACCGCTACAGTTTACATAATGTTAAGGTGAGTGGAGAGGCAACTAGTGCTGATGTTGTTGCTGCCGAAGCTTTAAGGAGGAGCTAGATCGTGTGATCGTGGAAGGAAATTATTTGCCTGAGCAAATATTCAATGAGGATGAAACTGGATTATTATGGAAGCGCATGCCTGAACGGACATACATCCAGAAAGAGGCGAAAACAATGCCAGGATTCAAGGCATTCAAGGACCGAATTACACTTCTGTTGGGGAGGAATGTAGCTGGTTTCAAGTTAAAGCCCTTTATGATCTATCATTCAGAGAACCCCAGGCCTTTTAAACATGTCAGCAAGCACACACTGCCAGTGTTTTATCGCAGTAACAAGAAAGCATGGATGACCCTAGTACTGTTTGAGGATTGGTTCATGACTTGTTTCATTCCTCGAGCCATGGAGTATTGTTTGCAACAAGGGATTGCATTCAAGATTTTGTTAACTTTGGATAATGCTCCGGGACACCCACCACACCTGGACGACATGCACCCTGATGTGAAGGTAGTCTACATTCCACCTAACACTACCTCTGTCATCCAACCCATGGATCAAGGTGCTATTGCAGCTTTTAAAGCTAATTATTTACGTACGACCTTCGCTCAGGCTGTTGCTGCTACTGAAGGTGAGAAAACGCTCAAGAGAGTTTTGGAAGGACAACAACATTTTGACATGTAAAAAGAACATTATTGCAGCATGGGATGAGGTTACAGAACAGTGCATGAATGGAATACGGAAGAAAGTCCCAAAAAGATATGTGAACAGTTCCAGAGGATTTAATGAAGACGAAGTAATTCCTGAGATTAGTAACAAGATAGTGGAGTTGGATAAACAGCTTGAGTTAGAAATTGATAATGAAGATGTTGAACAGTTGGTTGAAAGTGTAGCAGAAGAGCTAAGTAACGAGGATTTTATCTAACTGGAAGCACAGAAAAATGCAGAGGAAGAAGAGTCTAAATGTAGAAGAACCTGCACCCCCCAAAAAAAAATTTCAGTGAAGCAAATGGCAGAGGCATTTGCTACAATTAATAAGGGGATGCAAATGTTTGACGGAATGGATCTAAATGTTGAGCGTTTTGCCAAAGTTGACAGAATGATCCAAGATGCACTTGCTTGCTACAGGGAGATTTATAAGGAAAAGAAAAAGCAAACTGTGCAGTCTAAATTGGACATCTATTTTAAGAAGTCCCCCATTGCTGTCTCCTCACACACCACCAGTGCTGCCTCTTCACTCCCTAAAGATGATCCAATACCTTCAACCAGCAAGTTTCCCCTGTACATTAACCTGTCTGAAGAAAGCGACATTGATGACCCACCCAGCCCTGTCTCCTCCTCTGCTTCATCCAATAAATATAATCTCCATGTATACCTGTAAATAGAAAATTATGGGGGCCCCATGTGCATTCAGCTGACTACATTAAAGGTAAGTGCACAGTAACACTGTATCCATTCTTCATTATTGATTACTTTTACTGTACTGTATTACATTATAGGCTTTATATGTACAGGTATTATTTTTTTCATTTCCGACTTACGACCTGGATTTGTGTCCCGAACCCCGTCATAAGTTGGGGAGGAGCTATATAACTAAACCATTTTGTATTCGTATTCATCAATGGGCGGAGGTGGTGGAGCGAGTGTGTGGTGGGTAGTGAAGCAGAGGAGGTGGGAGGGGAGGGGGAGGAGGGAGGGAGGGAGAGGAGGAGGGTGGTGAGTCACTGATACTCGGCGGCTGCCTCCTCCTCCCGAGAGCGTAGCGAGCAAGACGAAAGAGGGTGATGCACCGTAAAAAGTAGTCCATGACAACGCAAAAACAACGTTAAATTGTGTCGTCGAGATGTTATCCGAATTATTGGTATCTAAAGAGTAGCGACGTTGTACCGAAACAACGTTAATCGGGGCAACGATATACGAGGACTTACTGTACAGGTAGACCCCAATTATTGAAGCTTCAGTTTACAAATTTTCAAAGATAAAAAAAAATAAAAAAAAATTTCCCATGCTGCAGTTTACAAACGAAAATAATGAAGCCCCCCTCCCTACATTATTATTTTTTTTATAAATTTTGACCAGCATCGAAAGATGATGTACTGCCACTGGCATCTCAGGGTTTCCTGCACTGGACCTGATCAATTTACAGTACAGTACTGCACATTACTCTACTGTCTTGTACAGGCGGTACTTGTTTATCATCATGAATTCATGCCATAGGCAGAATGACATTCAACAAAACCCAAAATCCCACAGGCCCAGTGTTACAAGCGAAGGCAATACTTGTACTGTATTACCTTTAGATAAGCTTAGAGCAACTAACATATTCAATGATAAATCTATGCATGAAAACTGTGCTGAAGCCAAAAACACATGCAGTAGGCTTTGTTTGTAAACATAAAGGACATTAGGTTTTGTTTCGATGTGCCACTGTGGTTCGATTAGTCACTTTTGGCCACATACCTTAAAGTATGGGGTATTATTATCGTTTCGGTCATGTAGTGAATTTTAGGATTTTAGTTTTGGAATCGGTAGTTTCCATAATTTTAAGACACTTTTCTTCTATAGCATTTCTGTCGGAAATTTAAAAATTATGAGTATTTTAACCGATAAAATTACCAACTACAGTATGTTACTTGTTGGAAGTGGGCAGGGCTTTGAAGTAGACGGAAAACCTAACCTAATGTTTCCTAACTTGTAAAAATGTAAAGAATCACTTTCGATTTTATGGATCCCTCCTCATCTGAACACCAAACCCAACACATTCTAAAAACCGAAACAACACCATCACCTACTAAACACCGAACATATGAATAAGGTTAACTTTTTATAGTTTTAGGATTTTTATAGTTTAGGAAACATTAGGTCAAGTTTTCTCTCTCCCCCCCTCTCCCCCCTCTCCCTCCCCCCCTCCCCCTCTCCCCTCTCCCTCTCCCCTCTCCCTCCCTCCCCCTCTCCCTCTCCCCTCTCCCTCTCTCCCTCTCCCTCTCTCCCCCTCTCCCTCTCCCTCTCTCCCCTCTCCCTCTCCTCCTCCTCCCTCTCCTCTCTCTCTCTCTCTCTCCTCTCTCTCCCTCTCTCCCTCTCTCTCTCTCTCTCTCTCTCTCTCCTCTCTCTCTCTGTGTATATATATATATATATATATATATATATATATATATATATATATATATATATATATATATATATATATATATATATATATATATATATATATATATATATATATATATATACACAGTAAAAGTCCAAAAATCCAGATGCCAGAAATCCGGACCACCCGAGAATCCGGACTTTTCAAAAACAATTTTTTTTTTAGCGGGCATTTGTGTGCATGTGCGCATGCGTGAGCGCCACAGCTGCACAGCGACAACAAGCGACCACGTGGTCGCCACTTTAAAATGGGCAATCAAACTGTGACAACATACAATATATACTCGTCTATAACCCTCCCTCGTTATCAGTCGACCCTGATTTTTTGACCAAGAAATCGTTAATTTATGATATTCCTCGTTTATAGTTCCACCCATGTTTTTGAGGGTAATGGAACAACAAAACCACTAAAAACACTCTACGTCCTATAAACTGAGGCTCGCCGTGCATGAAACACAAGTGCTGAAGGCAAATTTTTTACCATTTATTATTACGACACTTTACACTGAAACGCGGGTAGTTTCAACAAAAATATTGTATATTTCCATTTAAGTATTTATTCAAGTCAATTAGGAGGGAATATTATTGAAATACAACAGTTTTTAAACTAAACCATTCGAAAAGCGATTACGGTAACATCTTTTGAACGAAAGAAAGCGAAAGTCATTGTTTTCGTCATGATTTTATCCCACTTTCCACTGTAATACGTATGTAATTTCAGGAAAAATATTACATTTCCGTGAATGTATTATATCAAGCACAGTATGAATAGAATATCATTGTAATATATCAGAATTTTAACTGAAAACTATTAAAAAAACGAGTAACATCTCAAGAACATCGGAAGCTTAGGTAAAGTCTTTTGTTTTCGTCATGTATTTTATCCTATTTTACATTGAAATACGTCACGTTTCCACAAAACTACTATTTATCTCCGAGAATATATTCATTCAGGCGCAGTTTAGGTAAAATAGACGAGTGATGTAATAGTTTTTTAACTGAAAACGATTCGAAAAACACGTACCCTCTAGCCCTGTTCAAAGAGAGGACTGGGAGAAGCTGTTTGGTGCTGCAGACGATGACAAGGAAAATGATTTTGATGGATTTTAATGAAAATATTCAGAAATATGGTATCGTAGTATTTATTCAAGTCAATTAGGATAGAATATTATTGTAATACAACAGTTTTTGAACTGAAAACCATTCGAAAAGCGATTACGGTAACATCTTTTGAACGAAAGAAAGCGAAAGTCATTGTTTTCATCACGATTTTATCCCACTTTCCACTGTAATACGTACGTTCAGCAAAAATATTACATTTCCGTGAATGCATTATATCAAGCACAGTATGAATAGAATACCATTGTAATATAACAATATTTTGAGTCCTACTCTTTCCATTTACAGAGTACTGTACAAGCCCATAATAATGGCTCCTAAAGTAGATAAACTTCGTTGTGTGAAGAGAAAGAAGAACACATTGAAATTGAGTGACAAACTTGAAATAATTAAGAAACTAGATCGTGGTGTGAGCAATACTGTTCTAATGGAAACGTACGACATTGGAAAGTCTACAATTTATGATATATAAAAGGCAAAGAATAAAATTTAGAATTCACAGCTTTTTCATTAAAACTGCTCGTTTT